ACATAAGCTATTTGTGAAGACCCTCTTCTCGTTCCTGTGCCCTTGCCCCTGCTTCCTTCCCCGGCCTGAACACCCAGAAGCCTGCCCCCTGTTGGGCGGAATAGGCAGTTCTGCAGCTGCTGGGATCTGAGAGACCTTGGAAACCCCTCCTTGCCCTGGGGCAGGCTCTCCAGGAGGTGTCCCCATGCCCCAATCCTCACTGTACTGGGACTCGAACCTTGGGCACCTCTTAAGACCCTTGCAGCTGCCTCCTTTCTCTCTTGTTCAGCTCCCCACCATACCAGGTCGCCCCTTTGGGGGATTTAAATGCAACATTGGGTCCCAGGAGAGGAGTCCTGGCTTCTCACTCACCAAGGGGCCAGCGATTGAAGGCGTTAGCTCCCAGCGGGGATATTTTGTCCGATAGACATGAATGATGAAAGTGACTGAGGCAGACAGATTCCTCCTTGCCTCTTTTCCTGTGGGCTCACTCAAGGCACAGCTCCTTCTTGGAAGCCTCGCGTAGTCCCTGTGTGGGTGACCGTGTCGCCTGAGCACATTTTGATCTCCGTGGTTCACGTTGGAGCCGCAGCCACATGATGGGCTCACGGTGCTTTGCTTTGCCCCCTACTTTCTACCTCCTTTCCTCCTCTCTCACCCTCACAGCCCAGAGCCTGTGCCTCCCAAATAAAGTGATAGCCCCTCAATCTGCATCTCGGTCTCTGCTTTCCAAAGGACTCAGCTTGGGACACTGGATTCTAGTGTATTTCTTCTGAGTTCAGTCTTTTTTCTCCTTTGCAGGCCTGCTTTCAAATCAGATGCATTTAGAAAGGGAGATATATTAAAGAATTATGTTCTATTTGGGGAAATGTTGAAGTAGTAAAAGGATACTGGTTTATAGGGGGGCAAAAACAACAACAAAAAAGATAATTACAGAAAAAGACGGAGAAGAACACCAGTGTCAAACTTCCTCTGTTTCACAGTTTGTCTCAGCAGACCACAAGCCCAATATTGATCATTTCTACCCCCTGATATTTTGTCAACTCCGTATTACACATGACCTCCTTTTGGATTTGGAAAGTGCTCTGTATATAGTATGTATACTCAAGGTTCTGTTTTTATTCTTGACACTGAAGATTCAATGGGAAAATTCCCCAGAATGTTGATTTAAACTTTATAAACTTTATTTTTCCAAAATCAGAGAGATGATTTTTAATCCACTTGGTTTTTAAATAGTATCATCTAAGATCTGACTTTATCTGCTATTTTGTATCACTGAATCACTTAACCAACTAACTGAATCGGTAATCTCGTCTGACATGAGCAGCACGCTGAGTCACCGGCAGAGCTGTGGGGACAATATGGAGAGCCACACATGGAAGACACCATAGGTCTTCACCCGCTGAGCTGCATTCACTCAAATCTCTTTGTTAAAAAAGCGAAATAAGCCAGGCAGAGAAAGACAAACATCACATGATCTCGCTTATACGTGGAATCTAAAGAACTTAATAAACTGATGAACAGAATAGATTCAATGACATGGAAGCATGGATGAGACTGACGAATGTCAGAGGGATGGAGGAGGGCGGGTGGGTGGAGGGGGAGAGAGTAACCA